TCTAAACCCAGATGCTTTATTAATTTTGTGCTATTTTGCCTCCTTAAAGCTAAAAAAATTTCAATTTAAATAAAATTAATCTAAATTGATCGGGGAACGGCGCATTGCGATTTCGTCATTCTTCTAAATTTAAACCAAATACAATTTCTAAAGCTAAGTAAACTAGAAAACTTAACGCCTTTAAGCGTGAATTAAAACACATCTGGAATATCGCCCTAATTGAACAGTAAATGACACCACGACGAGCTTTTCATTTCATAGAAATTAACAACTGAATTGAGTAAGTGGAAGTAGAACAACAAAAAGTACAGAAAATAGAACTAAGCTTTCGAAAAGGCAAGTATTGTAATAAATGAACGATTCCGGAAGTGAAATAAGACAACAAAGCGAGAAGCCTTTAAGCGCTGGGCAGTGACATACAGACAGAAGCGTACAGAAGAGGGAAATAACTATGTAAATGAATGTGGAAGTATCAGTAAGTATTGTGTTTTGTTTATAAAAAGCGTGTAACTCGAGAAACAAAAGTGGCAGCAGTAACCAGAGAAGTGACGAATGATACATACATACGCACACACACACACAAGCGTACTCTGATATCCAATTCCAGCGAACAAAAGGCAGAACAAACAGATTTGTGCCGCAAGCTGGTTAAATGAGCAATACGAGGTGGAAGACTAAATACGAGGCGAGCAAGTGAAGTGACGACGACGACGACGACGACGACGACGGTGAAATTATATTGTGCGAACACAATATTTTCCAACCGATGAGTTGGTTGGAGAGGTGAAGAGAGGGGTCCGTCCCATACTTAGTACACTGACTGCATTCAAGTGCGAGCAGATATGTATTGTTCACTTGTAAATATATCTGAGTGTGTGTGCACCTCAACAGGTGCAATCGATATAATGTGCCAACTCGGTGTAAATGAATGTGCAAAAATATATATATGTGTGTGTGTGTGTGTATGTACGCAGCGATGTGTGTGCCATTTCTCAATGGCACGTAGACAAGTAGCAGATTTGAAATATCGCTTTTTCCAGTATCGCAGTTTATTGTTTCATCTTATTTCAATATTACACTTTTTTCTCTCTATTTCTCTATTTTCCACTTAACGCTACACCTTTGCCGTTGCAAGCTGCTGATTGCCTAGCAATGTCTGCAACGTAAAATATGTTGAAACTATTTGCAACGCAATCACCTAGAATTCTCCTCTCCTGCACGACATAACTTTTGTAATAGACCAAATGGCAGGGAAATTATTTTCATAACACTTTATTTGTGATATGACAATCAGACCATGCAGGCTCGAGGCTTCGTCTCAGGTATAATTATCTTCAGAGTCGAGCACAATAAAAATATCTGCAATATAGTTAAATGAACTAAAATAATGCAAAATGAAATGAAATATAACAATATGAAAAACAATAAGGGATTTAATAAATAATAGACAGTATATAATAGATAATAGATAATAGATAATAGATAATAGATAATAGATAATAGATAATAGATAATAGATAATAGATAATAGATAATAGATAATAGATAATAGATAATAGATAATAGATAATAGATAATAGATAATAGATAATAGATAATAGATAATAGATAATAGATAATAGATAATAGATAATAGATAATAGATAATAGATAATAGATAATAGATAATAGATAATAGATAATAGATAATAGATAATAGATAATAGATAATAGATAATAGATAATAGATAATAGATAATAGATAATAGATAATAGATAATAGATAATAGATAATAGATAATAGATAATAGATAATAGATAATAGATAATAGATAATAGATAATAGATAATAGATAATAGATAATAGATAATAGATAATAGATAATAGATAATAGATAATAGATAATAGATAATAGATAATAGATAATAGATAATAGATAATAGATAATAGATAATAGATAATAGATAATAGATAATAGATAATAGATAATAGATAATAGATAATAGATAATAGATAATAGATAATAGATAATAGATAATAGATAATAGATAATAGATAATAGATAATAGATAATAGATAATAGATAATAGATAATAGATAATAGATAATAGATAATAGATAATAGATAATAGATAATAGATAATAGATAATAGATAATAGATAATAGATAATAGATAATAGATAATAGATAATAGATAATAGATAATAGATAATAGATAATAGATAATAGATAATAGATAATAGATAATAGATAATAGATAATAGATAATAGATAATAGATAATAGATAATAGATAATAGATAATAGATAATAGATAATAGATAATAGATAATAGATACGGATAACGGAACCCTAACCGTCAATGTATTTTGTTATGTAGAGGCTTTTGATTCGACGCTTCTTTAGGTGGAGGCATTTGGTAGCGGGACTTTAACCTTCAACATATTCCGAATGTATTCATGCTCAACATTTATTTTTTATATCTATGGAGCATTTTTGAGAGGGAAATTTCGCGGCGAAGACTCGTTATATCGAGGCTTTATTGTATATAAATGCATATTTGTATATATATACACATATGTATATGTTCATATGAAGACTTTGAAGAAGTTGATCATCGAGTAGCATAAACTCAAACTTATAATGACTTCTAAATTCTTAAATGACAACATTTTCGCCGCATCCTTAGACGTTTTTGCGCAACAAAATCAGCAATATTTTACTACAGACATGCAGTTAGCGAGTGATAAAAGACATATTTGCATGTTCCTTATGCTTTCACTTTAGAATGTTACTGTGAAAATATTTACCTAAATATTTATACCCTAAATAGCGAAGACATTGCGATTCCAAAGTCAAAATTCTTGACGGCTATTAGGTGCCTATTATTGGGAGTTTTATTAACGGCGTGTGGAAAGTTCTTGCTGGCGTTTACTCAGGCTTCTCTGTAGCAAAGTATTTAAATATTAATGCGCTGACTTGTGCAAAATTTCAGGCTGTAAGCAAAAAGCAAAATAGCTTGGCACAAAGACGAAAGATATTTACTGAGTTGTGAATAAATTTCAGTCTAATTTACTTTTCTAAGTTTTCCTTAGGATTTAGCCACAAGCTGGAATGATATGTAAATGGCTGTAGCCACATTTTCATCTCAAATGGCAAAAGGTTTCAATTGAAATATTATGCAAAATCGGATATAAATTTAGTCAATTTTATAATTAATTTAAAATCTTTGAAATTAGGTTGTACGAGCACTAAATATTACAAAAGGCTAAAAGTATCGCTAAAGAGACTAAGTTAGGTTAGGTTATTGTGGCAGACACCACTAGGGACTCAAATCCACATTAATTTGATTGTCTATTGTGTCCACATTATTAAAATTTTTCGAATTGTCACTACAGGTTTCTGTAAAACTAAGAGAAGCGTCGAGTGCTCAAAATAAAGTTCCGCAGGCAGCTGATGTCCACTCCTGAGAGTTTTTCGGGAATGTTGATAAAATGCGCACCGAGGGATTTAAGCCTTAGTCTAGCGAATTCTGGCTAGCTAAGAAGGAAGTGCTGAGATGATTCCACCTCGTCTTCCAAACAGCTGCGGCAGTATGGATCCGTGACGATATTAAGTCGCACCGTTTGCGTTCCTAAAGGACGACGGTCTGCTCTTCTGATCTTTTAACTTTGCATCTTTTAACTTTTCCCCCATCTCTCGCTGAGCCAATTGTGATGCCATCTGTTCAGGAGCAGGCCACAGGTTTCCAAAGGAACTCCCTCCCGAGATGATGACCTCGAAGTTGCCTTGCTTACCCAATTCATCAGTTCTCCAATATCCAGTGATTTCACTGTGTCCTGGGATCCAAATTAGCATGATTTGGAAGTGTTGCGATCGTACCATTAGTGATCTCTGCGCATAGTAGTTACTTATTGGCTGCTCCTTTATAGGGGCTGAATATAAGATTTAAGAAAGTGTCCACTACACTTCCTCCAATTCTCACATTCAGCTTCGATCGGTCCGAGAAGATGTTTATTGGACCTCTACTCTAGAGACTGTCATTCTCCTTTCGCTCCTTGGAGAGATGTGCATGGAGAACAATCCGTTGGGGGATCAGCTTTTGGAGGGCTTGAGATGTAGGCTGACCAGCATTTACACAATGAAGACCGAATGTTCCCATTAGCCAGTACCTGCCGAGATTATAGAACTGAGCCGCCTCCAAGGCATGTCAGGTTTCATCCCATTGATCAAAATGAGCAGTATTACGGGCATGCGGGTCTAAGTAACCGGAACGACGCAGAATTATATCTGGCCATCAATCCAGCATCATTCCCCAAGCCTTAACAACAACAACAGCGGTATTACTATAGAATTAAATATAGAGAGGCTTTAAGCCGTTTTATAGAAAGTCACTCATCGGAGTACAATCACCCCCCTGGCAGGCTAGCAGTTCGATTTCCTTCCTGAACCCTGTGTTACTTTGGTGCAAATACGTTGGTCCGGGTTAAACTCGCACGATACCATTCACTTCTTTGCTCACTCAAACCAACTCATACCACAAATTTCACCTTAGGCCAGCCCTGTCGAAAATCCCATTTTCCATTATTTTATCTAGATAGGACTTGATGAGCTGCTTGGTTTGGTACGAGCACAGAGAAGCTGGCCAATTGCTGGCAGATTATTTCAGTAATACGAGGTTTTTATTTGGTTTATCTGTTAAGTTTTTCGCTGTTTTGGATTCATTCCTGTTTTGGTTTTTGGATTAGAGGTGCCAACATTATTTAATTTTTTTTTTTTTTGGTTTCAAGATATTATCATTCGCTTAAATAAGGACGTATTTTATTTAAGTGTAAACCACAAAATAAAAGCTCGAATGGAACTGGTCTCTACGAGGATCTGCTAAGAAGCTAAAATAAATACGACGCACCTGAATGAATTTTACTTATTTCGTTCTTTTTTTAACTCGAAAAAATGTGTATGTATGAAGTATAATTCAATCTTGTACGCTTGTTATTCTATACATGTGCCAGCCACTTACCTTCCGCACACCGAAATGTCAAAATCCGCCTGTCAACATAAAGCGACAGCGACACCCCCTCCGCTCACGCTGCCTTCAGCACACAAATTTCTATGTCAGCTGAGGATTCTCTGCTAGCCGCTGGCTGCGTTTACTTTTAGCGTTGTGTGCTTTTGCGGCTACAGAAACACACAAACCGAAACGAGAACCGAAATCGAGTTAAGTTGAGAGTGAAGGTACACAAGATTCAAAGGATACGCCGTATTATTGCAGGTGGCAGCACTAAAAAACACACGCGCGCGCACTTGAACTCTTTTTAGTTGCTATCCAGTAGGAGAGTAGTACACCGTTCACTAACAAATGATATTAAAATCATTTACAAATTAGCAGACACCTGCGAAGGCGGCACACACACATACGCGCACACACACAGCCACTTTGAGTGACAGGCAGAGCAAGGAGCACCATGGCGTATGCGTGGCTGGTTGATTAGTTGTATGAGAATGCATACCTCCAAACATACGTACATATGTATGTATGTATCTGCTCTCTGGTGGCGCGTTAATTGTCAGCTATCTGAGCTGACACGTGCTGACTGCAATGGCACATTTCACAAACACATACGCAATCAGGAAAGGTGACACACAGCGGGGACCGCACTACCTGCCACTTAAATTTCCGTCTAATCTATAATCGATTTATGTTCATTTTAGTTTCGAGCTGCAGTTATCGCCATCAACCGACCGGCCGACCCACACACACACATTGGCACATTGGCCAACTGCTCAATTGACTTGTTGGGGGTATGACAACTGGTCACAACAACAGCTGCAATGTCACTATGCAATGTCACAGCTATTCCGCTGTCCGGCAATTCGATGGCCACATTCGTTGATTATCGACTTATACTATCTGACATTTGGCATTCAGCAATCGACATTTAACATTTGGCATTAGGCAATTTGTGGAATTTTAAATGTATGCTTTTGGCTTTGCTAGTATGTTGTTGTTGTTGTTTTTGTTGGTCGCACATTCATTGGAGCTTATTACATGCCAAAACGCTTTCGACATTGAAGTGACAGCGTTTTGATGGCATTGGCCAATTGACTAATTTGCAAAAGTAATTCGGGGTGGTTTTCAAATGCAACACAAAATTATGGTCAGCANTGCTATGTTTTTGTCACAAATGTTGATACGCTTTAATTAGTATGCATTACTTTTTGTTTGTCGGCAAAGCAAAGCTAATAAAACTGTATTTAATGTCCTTATAGCAATACTAATTTTTTTTTTAATTAATTTTAAATTTAATTTTATTCAGAAAACGATCACTTAGGAATTTAAGTGTTTGATACATTTTAGTTTTTCATTTGAATTACCGTATTTAGTTATTTTTTCTACTTCAATTATTTTGATTCAAAATGAATATTTGGCTTGCCTTTTTGTGTTTATTTTTTATATTTTCAATTTTCCTTTTTGTAATTTTTTTTTTAGTGAAACTTCTAATATTTATCTCTGCTATATGCATTACTTGTGTAGAGTAAAACATTTTATCTTTTATCACTTTATTATTTCTACTAGGTAAACGTTTTTTTTTATAATTTTTCAAATTTTTTTAAGCCAAAACTTTATATATTTTTAAATTACGTCATATTATAAGTTATGTTATGTGAAATAAAAATTTTAGATACTATTTTTTAGTAGTTTTTGTTTTATTAACAGCTTCACTTCCAAACTCACTTATGTAATATTAAAGTCCTTTTTTAGTTTTTTTGTTACAACATAGATTTAATAGATTTTTTTAGAATATTCCACAGTAAAAAAATGTCTATAATTTTTACAACTTTTTGTTTATTTTTTATTTTGTTTTCAAGTACTATTTTATTTTTACAATAGAAAAGCCATTTTTTTTTAATTCAATTTTTTTATAAGAGAAATTTGGTGCTGTTTGTTTTATTAGAGATCGTAAAAGCAAGTAGACATTTAGAATTTCGCACTTCTTTTAGAAATTACTATTTTTTTTCTTAAAACTATCCGTTATTTACCAAAGTAACGTCGCGGACGCAGGAAATCACATCAAAGCATTTGTTTTTTATTTGTTCGTAAATTTTTAAATTTTCACAAAACTTTTTTTTTATATTTTTGCAAATTACCACATATTAAATCTAATTATCTACACAACATTATTTTTTTTTTTGCTTTTTTTAGTCGGTTTTATGTATAGCATAATTCATCTTTAATTGAGAAATTTCAGCTCTTTCCTTCAAAACTTTTGCTGTTTTCACTTCAACGATACATAAGTAGATTATTTTTTTAAATTTTTTTGTTTAAAGTTTTTCGTTCAAATTCTGAAGCATTTTTTAAATTAACAAAACTTAGTATGTATTACATAGATTTGAATTGATTCATGAGATTCGTTTTTTTTATTTTTTATTCAGCTTGAAAAAATTTTTTTTAGAGCAGAGCTATTGTGTTTTTGAAATAGAAGATTAATCTTGTGGCACCTTGTTTTTGCGAGACTTGGTGGCACCATTTTGTTGTATTATTTTTCAATTTTTTTATAGAAAATTGCGAAGATTTTTTTTTTAAATTTTGTGAAAAATCATTGTTTGTATTCCGCTCTAGGTAATTGAATACAATTTTATCAAAAACAGCAATTTACTTTATTTAATTTATATCTTCGATTATTTTTCACAACTTTTCTTTTCACTAAATCGTTGCAAAACAGACTCTTGCGTAGTTTGTTTTATATTTGCTTATAAAGTATTTAATTCTCTAGACAGAGCTATGTTTTTAGTGAAACAGTAAAAAAATTTGATTTGAGAAATTGAAATGAAAAAACCCAAAGCTCCTAACTGCGGCTTATTTCTCGCGATCCGCTCAGCTCTTCTGCTTTATCTCAAAGTCTTAGATAATTTTAAAACCTCTAGCAGTGCCAGGTCTTTACGTTTTTTTAGTTTAAATATAAAAGGAATATTCTTGTTTACAAGGACCACAGCGGTCCTTAGCCTAATTGGTTTGCATGTCATTATGCTAAGGGTGGATACTGCGGACCATTATCCTGATATTAAGTAGCAGCAGCTGACACACGCGTGGCAAATATAAGCTTTATCAAAGTCGTAATGAACATACTAGATGTTTTTTTATCTAAACCGCAGAGAAATTTTAACATTGACTTGAAAACCCGGTCCTAAGCCTTATGTGGATGTAGGCAACAACAGACATTGCAGTACTAAATCAAACACTAAAACGCCACCACATGGCTAGCCTTATGAATTATAAATGCATCTACCCAAAACTCCTACTCCTTTTTAAAATCATTATATCTATTGAGATCATCCAATAAAATTGTTTACATCTAAATTTCTCCTTGTATACTTTCTCACATTTCTGTAAATAATAAATAATTCAGTTCCAAGCAAATGCGTATTTCAAACTTTTAGTAAAATCTCATTACTTGATCACACAAATTACTAAATTCAACAAATATGGAAACATCAGACCATCTCATTTTTTGGGGAATGTAGGAATTTAAGAGCTCATAAATCGATGAAACTTGTTATGTTTCGTTCCACACCTGCATTAAGATTTGTACATACATACATATGTATCCATTAGGTCGGATCAATTTGCATCGGAGATTCATTCGACTGGGCGCGCATAGCATAGGTGGTTTCTACGTGTGATTCTAAACAAATTTTGCAAAGAAATAATGGGTCGAAAATCAATTTGAACTTCGCCCAATTGCGAAAGTAGGTTTCTTAGCATTTTACGGAGGTATGGTAAAGCAGTGTTTAAATTTTATATAAAAACATGCTCTAACTGGTTTTTCACAATTTTCACATTTTCTTCGAAATCTATTTTCGCTATTTGTTAAACTCCAAATTCATTTTAGACCCATGGTTTCTTAGGCAAATTTGCTTAGAATTACACATAGAATCCTGCTATGCTATACCTGCATAGTACAAAAACAAATTTGATCCACCCTAGTATTCATACAAATAAAAACATAAAACATCTCTACATGCGTAAACATTTGTTTAGCATCTGCTGTAAAATGCAATTGCAGTTCATTATCAAAAGTTTTTCTATTCTCTCCAAACAAACTGTTTACACGTTTTAAATTTTTAATAGAAATACTGTCTGCCATCTGGTATTGACTTTCAAAAACTATTAATCGAAAATCAACTAAATCATCTGCAGATAAATACATTACTTTCCAAGATTTTTTAGTAAATCTTTATTTATTCACGTAATTCCATAAACCGCAATTTGCACAAAGCTGGTTTTCTGCATACATTCCATCGTCATAATACATATGTATGTATGTATGTATGTGTGTACATGTGTCCAAATATTCAAATAAATTGCCAAAATATATGTATACAAATTTATGTCTGTAAGTGCTGAGTGTTTACACGAAAAAAATTCATTCAACTATTGCTTTCCATATATTTGTTTACAACGTGTGAATTGTAAAATTCCGAATTCGAAATTTAAATCAAATTTAAATTTTAATTCAATTTCCCGCAGGTGTTGGTATGTTTGAATGGATTTAGATCCCGCTCGATTCTGGTGTGGTGTGGATGAGAGTTTGCGGTTGCCGCATATGAAAATTGGTTAACTTTTTTGATAAAAATAAGAATCTCATTTGGTTGAATGAGAAAATATTTCGCTTTGATTTTATTTAAACTGATTCGTAAGACTGGAATATTGAATATTGGTCCAGCCGTATAGCCACACAGAATGCGATCTGTTGGCGTGTAAATCTACTAAAAAATAAAGTTCAGTTAAGCTTTCCGCGACCTGGACACTACATTGGTTTCAAATTGCATCCAAAATATGCGTGTTGATTCAAGCATTTGGAGTCTTCCCACCATTCTAATGTTCGCCTTCTTCTCATGAGCTGTCTATCATTCTATTATACTAAAAGGAAGGAATGGGTTTCGAACGAAATATTTTATTAATTAACATCTTTCTTGAGTAACACCAAATTCATAATAGTTTTTTGATATGAATGCCACAAATTTCATCGGCTTTTGTGATAGTTGACCCGCCCGGTCTTCTACTTCTTGAAGAAGAATATCGTATCGACAGCTACGCTCCACAGTAGTGGTAAAATCACTCCACCCTGAGGCTTTCCTCTTACCGGAAAATGAAGTTGCATCCAATTACATATTTATCAGCCGTCCGATTAGCATATCGATGGCTGAGTAGAAGATCGACCTATCTCGGCAGCCAGTTCGAAATCGCCCTATCTCATAATTTGGTTGAAAAATTCCCTATCTTTAGCTGTCGATTCAAAAACGCCCTATCTCAGCTTATTTTCAATGTACTTTCGTTTCAGATATTTAGGGCGTTTTTGAACCGAATTCCGAGATAGCGAATTATTAAGTAGGGCGTTCTTCAATCAAATTCTGAAGTAGGGCGTTATTGAAAAATAACAATTGGATAGCATTATTCTCAGCCAGAGCGTTAGGCTTCTCTACACATTCTCGGATCAATGCGGATTTGACCTCGCCATGTCCTACCTATCCCTTAAAATTAGGATCCCATCGATAATTCCTACGGTACACCGACTAATGGCATGGACTTCCGCTTGGAACATGCTTGGGAAGGTCGAGAGCTTTAGTCTGTGGCTATAGATGCATGCAGTAAGCTCCAATACTATTAGGATATCTTATGAGTTATTTTCATATTTACTAAACTATATATTGCAGGTCGGCTGGAATGAGTCTGTCTAGCCCCAGCGACTAAAAGTCGTGACAGACGTGGATGCTTATGCAGATTAACTAGCACACAAATGCGCATAATAATTTCGCCCTTACAGACGGTAGTAATGCGGACCAACGAACCGCAAGTACGTGGATTCGAGTCCCACGGCCAGTAGAATTACTATTTATTTCTTTCTTAATCAATTTTTTATAAGTTCTATATTTTTTTAAAGTTGCTTTCAATTAATTATTGTTGACCTTTTCAATAAAATTTAACTCTAAAAAAACAAATTAGTTAATGGTAAAATAAAAAATGTGATAAAAAATAAAACAAATGAAAATAAAACAGCGAAAAATTATATATAGAAGTCAAATAAAATATAAAAAAATAAAAAAATATTAAAAAATGTTGGCAACCGCTCCAACCGAGGATCGAACCTGGCACCTATAGAGCTGTAGCACGCAACTCTCACCACTCGGCTAACTCAGACGCCAAACTCGGTTGCTTTGTTTGCTTGTATGCAACAGCTGGTAATTTTTTTACAGGATGTTGTCATCGATAATTGCCCTGAGCCGAGTCAATTCCCAGAAA